TGTATACGATATGCATCAGAGACAGATTCGGCGAACACGGTAGTTAGCGCACGAACCGATATCGTTGGTGTTGAACTGGTACACTCCAATGAGGACACCAATGGTGGCGGTACGCAGCCCCCAAGTAGCTATGCGGCCAATGACGGGCCATTTGCGCGGGTGGAGATAGTCCACGACCATCGAGTCAAACTTTTGCAACTTTTCAGGATAAGCACGTAAGGGGGAACGAAACGATACAGACCCCGATGTGACTGTGCACGACAAGGCTGACACCGAGGAGACCGTCGAGGACGGGGTGCACGCTGGGGGACGTGGCGAACGCAGCGCCCGTGAGCGGGATGAGCGACGCTGACAGCAGGCGCTCGAACGACCAGTGGTGGGATCCGTGGGCTCTCGAAGGCTCGGGGAAAGTGGTGGGGTCATTCACCGTGCCCTTGTATATAGCTAGAGCAAAGACTGTGAGCACGACGAATGGGCTCGCTGGGATTGGACAACGCACGACCACCAGGGACGTAGAGGGCATCGGACTGGGACTGGGTTGTGGCGGGCCGGGCGGCGAGGAATGGCTTTGCAAAGGCGGGGCTGCGGCGAGCGAGGGCCCTTTTCGAGGTACTGGCCAGAAGCGAGGAAGCCATGGTGGTGCGGAGGAAGGCGGAGCGCACGGCAAGTTCCGGGCGAATATCATATGCTTCCCACAACCTGCTCAAAGATACAAGCGTTCAATTCAAAATTGCTTTCTTGGCTGGGCGTCGACATCTAGCGGCAGTTGTTCTCTGGGTCCTATCTACTTATGTTCTGGAAATAAAAGGGCTTTCCTGTCGGCCACCATTCCCAAAACGCTCCCGATTTCGAGGTATGGATTGTTGGCAATGCGTAAATCCTCCGCCTTCTCACCACCCGCAACGGTGATGCGGAGCTGGACGACCTGGCAGCGGAGATTCTAACTGGATACATATGTTACGGAATCAGGAATCAGGGTCAGGTACGTATACCTTGAAAAATAAGGAAACCCGTACGGCTAGTGACCGTCGACTGCGGGTGCGTCCAGCGGAGTGCAGTCGAGATGATGACCTCCTGTGGCTTCAACCGCGCAGCCTGCAGGTGCACAAGGTCCCCGTTGACCCATGCATTAGCGTCCTTGCTCACGAGCGCCGGCAGGTCAGCGCAAACGACTCGGGGTACTTTGTTAAAACCTCGTTCGGCTGCAGGTCACAGCGTCATCGGCATCGGACGAAAGACCTGGGCACCCGAGCGGCAGTGAAGTTTGGGGTAGAAATGAAAGGTGGTGTGTTTCCAAATTGTCTTGTAACTCGAGGCTCCTATGCGCGCTGTCTGCAATTATTCTGTACGATTAGATTAGATTGGATAGCCATGTGTTCACTGCCACCTGTCAAGGTGCTATATATACGATTTAGCTGCTGCGGAGGGTAGCCACGAAGTTTATTCGGGACTAGGCACGGCTCGGCTCGTGGCGGATATTGCGCGTTTGAGAGAGGCGCTCGTGGATGATGGGGTTTGAGTGTTCATGGTTGTTGAATGGCGGCGAACAGGACGGAGAGAACAAGATGCGTGTGAGCATGGGACGGATGTTCGTTGTGCATTGGATGTGTTCGAAAGAGATGGATTCGGGAATGAAACGACAGGGATCTCGAAGATTGAGAATAAAGTACTGACGGCAGAGTGCGTAATATCGGACTGGGGGTAAAAGCAGGGCTAGATCAACTCCTCCTTGATCTCGCCCGCCCATCCTCCCATCCCCGCGCTGTCCCGCGAGGTGAAACGTTCTCAAGACCAGGAAGTGTGACAAGTCACATCCATCTCTTGTCGCTCTCTTCCTTTTCTTGCTCGACCTCGCTGTGGCCCTCCGCGCACTGGCACCGCACCCACGCTCCTTCCCGCTAGCCCTTAATTCAAAAAGATGCCCTTCTCCTTCAAATTATTCCTCGCCGTCCTCGTCCTGCTGGCCCTCATTCACGCCCATGATGTCCCCCTCAACCGCTCCAACGGCCCCCATGCCCGCGGGCCCAAGGCCGTGAGCATGCGCCAGGCCAATGCCGCGAGACATCGTTTCAAGGGTGCGCGAGCAATTTGATTAATGTGTTTTCGGTGTTGATGCGCCGCAGACACTCAGCGGGACGTGGCTAACGGCGATCCGTTCTCTCTACCGGCTGACAATGGTGGTGGCGGAGACGCGTCATCATCGACCGACACCTCGACGGATACAAGCACTACCGACACTGACACATCGACCGACACTGCTACGACATCGGCTGCAACCACTACGGATACGTCCACTGACAGTACTACCGCGTCCACCGACACTGCTACGACGTCGGCCGCGACCACCGTATCCACTGACAGTGCTACTGCGTCCACTGACACATCCACCGACACGTCAACTGACAGCGCTACTGTGTCCACCGACACATCGACCGACACCGCTACAACGTCAGCCGCGACCACCACGACCGACAGTACCACGACGTCGTCGACCGACACCGCGACGACCTCGGCCCCGCAGAGTATCAGCCTCCCGCCCGCCACGAGCACCACCCTCACCACCTCCACGGACACGGACACCGCCACTAGCGCATCGGCGACCACCACCGACGCCCTCAGCAGCATCCTCAGTAGCATCTTCAACACGCTCACTGACACCGCGAGTGCGTCGGCAACGACGACGGACACGAGCACGGACAGCGCCACGACGGCAAGTGTGTCTGCGACCGCGACCACCACCGACACGAGCACGGACAGCGCGACCGTCACCACCACCGACACCGGGAGCGCATCGGCGACGACGACGGACACGAGTACGGACAGCGCCACCGCCACCACCACCGACACCGGGAGTGCATCGCCGACGAACATCCTCAGCAGCATCCTGAGCACGCTGACGGACACGTCGGCGCCGACATCTGCGACCACCACGGATACGGGCTCAGCTGCGCCTACGGGCAGTGCATCGCCGACGAGCGCTACCACGACGGACACCAACATCCTCTCGACGCTCACCCAGACCGACTCGTCCAGCCCGACGTCCGGCGTCGTAACCACCACCGGCACGGACTCGGCGCCCCCCACTTCTGTTGTGGCAACGACGACGGACTCGACTGGGCCCACCAGCGCTACCACCACGGACTCGGCGCCCCCCACTTCTATTGTGGCAACGACGACGGACAGCACGGGGCCCACGACCTCGGGGACCGTCGGCACGTTCTCGAACACGGTCACGATCTCGGTCAGCCAGTCCTACTCGGTGGGAACGTCCTTGGGCGTGACGATCACCCAGAGCGTCGGCTCCAGCGCGACGTCCTCCGCGCCCGCGTTCCCCTCGTCCCCCTCGGGCACCATCGACGTGAGCACGACGACCGCGACGGACATCAGCCTCAGCGTCGGGACGACGACGACGACGTCGCTGATCACGTCCGTGCCGAGCGACCTGACGTTCATCCTCACCGCGTCGAGCCTCGCGCTCGCGAGCGTCGCGACGACGAGCAGCCTCAGCCTGAGCGACCCCGATGCGCCAACGACGACGATCAGCCTCGCGGCGAGCGCGACGGGCGGCGCGGCGGCGACCGCGAGCGTGACGAGCGCGCCGCTGCCGAGCGACTTGCCGAGCAGGATTTACCCGCCGAGTGGGCCGATTACGAATCCGGGTGCGTTGCGCGCTCTTCTCTCTCAAGGAATGATTTTAAACTCGGTGGGCAGGGAGCAACTACTCGTTCATCAGTCTGCTCTTTGACGGGTACCTGCCGTGGGAGTTTGTCGTGAGCAGCGATACGAGCAGCAGCCAGTTGTTTGCGATCGTGCCATTGATGCTGGCGGTTGGGGCTGGAGTTGATAGTGAGTGGTGGTTTTTGTTTCTTGTGGGTTGATGCATACTGACAACGCTCTTCAGCTTCCCAAGTCGACACCTTTGCCCTCCAAGTGCGCATCCCCGCCACCTACACCGGCCCCTCGGACGTCTCCGTCCTCCAAACCCTCTTCAGCGCGTACATCCCCGCCTCCGCGGTCAACGCCCTCGAGCTCGCGCTCAAGTCCAAGAACTCGGGCTTCTACACGGGCGTCGACAACCCCATCGCCACCCAGCTCGCGTCGCACGTCGTCTCCGCGTTCGCGCTCAACTCGGTCGCGGACCCGGAGTCCGTCTCGTCGAGCAGCTCGGGCGGCAGTGCGGGCGACACGGTGGGCAGCACGAGCGAGAGCAAGACGCGGCAGGACGCGATCATCGGCGTCGTCAGCGCCCTCGGCGCGATCGCGGTGCTCGTCCTGCTCTTCCTCGCGTTCCGCGCATTCCGGCGCCGCGCGGAGCTCGCGCATCACCGCCTGAGCGACCCGCCCGAGCCCGTCGGCGCGCGGCCCGACGGGCGCGAGTTCGACCAGGACAGCGTCGGCGGCCAGCGGAGACGGAGCTTCTACTTTGCCGAGGACTCGCTAAGAGGCTTCCAGGGCGAGCGGCCGGAGGAAGGCGCGTATGATAGCCGGACGCAGGGGGCGGGCATGCGCGAGCGGATAAGGGGCGCGAATGTGACGGCGGGGGCGATCTCGGCGCCGATTTTGCAGCAGAGCAGTATGAATTGGTGATGGCGTACCCGTTCCGTCCGTTCTTCGACCTCGCATACCACCGCACGCACTCACACCGCACCACCACCACCACCACCACCACCGACTGACCGACACGCACAAAACACCATATACCACACTTCCCTCGGCGTTTTGCGGGCGTGATATACTTGGTTCTTTACTTACATACAACTCGACTTTTACTTACCCTTTTCCAATTTTACTCCCTGTCCCTGCGGCCTCGATCTGGTCTCGCAGAGTCTCAATCTCGGTCATCCTCATCTATATTATTGTTTTTTGTTGTTTCTGTTGTTTACGTACGGGTACGGGGTGAATTCTTGCTGTGAATTCTGCATGGAGTTGGATAGAAAGAGATGATTTATCGGGGTGCGAAGGAGTCGGCGGAAGCGTGTTGGAGAAAAATGCAAAAAGTGTGGCATCACCGTGGATTGAACACGGGACCTCCAGATGTAGCAATATATAGAATTCCCGTGACTTCAGTCTGTTGCTCTCCCAGCTGAGCTATGACGCCGTTGGGAGTCATTCGCAAATTTACGGAAATGATACGGGTACAGCTACTACAGAGCGTAGACGGAATGCGCAAGATGGGCAAAAGCCTCCAAGAGTCGGGTGCAGGGAGGTGGCGAGACGGGAAGGCAAGGAGAGATATTGGACAACGCTTGCGGCAAGTGGCGCACTCCTAATCAAAGCAAAATACACGTGCATTGCGGATGTACAAGATTTAATCGAAAGCGCAAAAATTACATTGCCTACGAAAAGCCTGCAGCGGCGTCGGCTCGAACCAAATCAATGAAAAGCAAGAGGGACGAACCGGAGAAGAGGGCGAGCGCATCATACGCCGCAATGGACGCGGTGAACTGGCCGGAAGATGAGACGACGTAGGAGGGCCCGGAGCATGTCGTTGGGGCCGTGTTAGTGTCGTGGCTAGAGGTATTAACAGGTCAGATGCGTGAGGGGAGAGGAGGGGAGGAGGGGTACATGATGTCGCAATCTAGGAAGGGAGGCGTCAGTTATGGCACAATGAGGACGAAGACTAGGGACCTACAGGTGCCAGCGGGGAGCGAGGTCGTGAACGTCTCGGTCCAGGTAGTCGCGTCGTTGTTGATCACCAGGAATCCAATCGAGCCGCGTCCGAAGGCTACGAATCAAGCAGTCGGAAACTGGTACTCGAAGCAACACAACACATACCGACTTGCTGCTCCGTCCCGACGAACACGTTCGTCAGGGCCGCCGACCCGACGGCGTTGTGGTAAAGTACCATGTTCGAGATGGCGATCCACTCATGCTCGCCTGGAAGGCTCATGGTCAGAAACAGCGGACACGGCTTGAAGACAGACATACAGCGCCACCCGTTCGAATAGCACGTTACCGGACTGGTGTTTCCGGCCGAGTCCTGCGGCGCGCCTATGTCGTACGTGGAGTAGTCGTACCCAGAGTAGACCGTGGGCGTGCCGTAGTTGAAGCCGAGCAGGAAGATGGCACCGAGCACGTATGCGTTGTTGGGGGAGAGGTAGTTGAGCGAGTCGGCGGGGGAGCTGCGTTCCTGGCGGCTTGTTAATGCAGTCGATATATAGTGGCGACGGAGGGAGACGCACTGTGTCTTGGTTCGCCATGATGAAGTTGGCGACATTCGAGGGGATGAGGTCCCATGCAGTGTTCATCGCTTCGAGGGCCCGAGACTCAGCACGTGAAAAGAATGAGGAGGGAAGGTGACTTACGGACGGGTGTCACCAAGTTGGATACCTGAGGACATGCTCAGCGCTGAATGAAAATCGACTGTGACGTGCTTACGGTGGTCATATAAGTCCCAGAAGTCCCGAGGAAGGCTTGCATCACGTACGACGTGGCCCCGAATTCGATGACATCCCTGAGTGGCATGCATAAATACATCCCAGGGAACAATCGATGAAGACACGCTTACCCGATTGTATCATACATGGGCGGGTTCGACGCGCCGCCGTCATATACTTCCTGAATTTGCCTGTTAGATATATGGGTTTTTGCGGTGAGCAACGATAGGAACCTGGGTGCGATACGGGGACCCTGACAGGGCCGAATAGATCGCGGAAAGATTGGCGGGCTCCATGTACGCTGCGGCGTCGACACGGAAACCAGAGACGCCCTGCGAGGTGATCAGTGTTGGGCCATTGATTCCAGAGGAAGGGCGCTGACGAGGGACACGAGGTCTTCGAGGTAGGCCGTGAGCGCGTCCTGGACGGCTGGCTGCTCTTGCGCCAGATCGGCAAGCCCATCGAGCTACGTGGGCGGTCAATAAAGGTTGTGTGGTAGAGCAAGGTGGGAGCCAACCTCGCAGAAGCGGACGCTGAGGTAGGCATTCGTGAGTGGTGAAAGTGGACAGTTTACGGCGCTTACTTGGTGACATTATTGAGATTAGTGACTCCGGCGGCCACACCGTTGCCGGCGCAATAGTGGAAATTGGATGAACTGTACGGGACAGCCGGGCTGATATCAGTCAGCCAGAGTAGAAAGAAAGGAGAGAGATACCACGCACTAGCTGTACTTCGTGTAGGTGCTTCCAGCGAAACCCACTCCAGACCCCCTAGTGCACAAATTCAGGTTTTTGAAATACTTGGATACAAGTGAATGTTTACGCAGTCATATGGTTCATGACAACTTGAAGAGGAGGTTAAAAAGGCTCGACAAGAGATACGAAGCGCACCATCTTGGATTATTCCAACGCCCGCAGCTGCGCATGTTGAGACCATATTGGCATACTGCGCGCGGTTCCCTCGTTTCGACGTGAGGATGTACGACACTGGCTGGTAGTCTGTCCACCACTCGTCGCCCGTAACTGTACGGAACATTAATATCTAGCCAATTGCAGTCAACCGGATGAAAATCCGCTTACTGTGTTCCATCGCGGGGCTAACTTGCGCGTATCCATACCCAAAGGGCCCAAGGAAATTGGTGCATTCGGCCCCTACACTCTCCCATGGCCATTCGAACAGCTGAGAACTGGGGTGAGCAAGGAGGGAGGATCGGAGGCGCAGGGATAATATAACCTGGACGATGACATCGTGCGCCTTGGGCGGAGAACGCCGAATGACCGCGTTAGCAGCAACGTACGAAAGCAGGGGGAGGGCGAGCAAGAGCGTTTGTGAGGAATGCGCGACCATGATTGGGTAAAAGAGACGAAATTTCCGACGCGAGTAGCCATATAAGATATATCATAGAAGTCGGTCCTATTCAGGGAATTGGAGTATCCAGTCGTAGCTCGGCATCGGTGAAAGACGGATAAGACTGTGGATAATATTAAGCCCAGCGGGTGATACGAGTGTCTTTTTTGAATCCGGAGCCTTATTCGAAGAGCACTGACATCATCGGACAAGACCCTCGTGAAAAAAGTTCGCTGATGGTTGGCCTTGGGACTTTGAGATGCACATGGTTTGGGTTCAAAACTTGTCATGGGGTGGGAACGGTCGCTGGTTTCGCGATCACGCGTCGGGCGCCGGCTTTGTTTTTGTCGACCATTCTCTTTGATCCTCTTCACGACCGTCCCACTTGGTAGTCTCATTCCCTACCGCCTCAAGCATTCATAGAAATCAAATAAGAAGAAAATCACGAACTAGAGCAAAATTGGAGAAGGTAAGGCTTCGAACACGGATATCGTGAACGTCGCATTGGTGGCCGCAAACGCCGGGATCGAAGACGGTAAGTTAAGTACTGATACCATAATAATTCTGGTCGCCTAGATCAGCTGCCACTTTTAACCCTGGATGCAGTCTCGGGCTACCCCGAAGAGACAAAACCTCTGTTTTCAGAGGCGCGCAAGACCGATTTGGTATTCCTCGATGGGGGGAAGGGAAATCGTGGCGAGACAGCCCACACCGCACGCGTGTGAATTAGTGCGAGGGTCGGACGCCATTGAGCACGCCGAGGTAGGGTTCGAGGAAAGGGCGGGCGTGACATGTGGCCAGAGTATCTGCCCCACGAGAACAAGATGTCTAGAGAACAATTGCCACTAGACTAGGATTACATCGCGGCGCCTTCAGCCAGAGACAAGGACGCTTGTATAGATAGGAGCCTCGAATTACAGCGAGAATGCAGAGATGAAGGTGAAGGTTGAGTTTTTTTGAAACATCGAAATTTGTTCTTCAAGTTGTCAGAAGCACAACTTGTCCTGACTTGTCATTCTCTCTCGACACGATTCCTAGAAAGAGCGCTAGGATGAGCGCAAATTCACGTAGAGTGGGCAGCGCGACCGCCATGAAAGATCTAAACAACGGAGCAGACGAGAAATCATAAATAATCGATGGGCCTCCGTTTTCGAGTCATGCGTGGGGTGAGCTCGTCGGAGGGGACGACATGTTGGCGTAGCGAGGTACAATTATTTAGAGGCTGGCATGTTCCGAAATGACCACCCTGGGCTCAATTTTATCCACTGTCATTTTCCCTCTACTTCATGTATTTTCCTGTGAATTGTGGGAGTCTCCCAGTCGGAACACCAGGCCTCCTGGGATACGGGTATAGGCTATCTTCAGAACGCGGCCATAATTCGGCGGAGCACCCAAGGGGCGATCTATCGAGCGACATCAGTAATCAACCCTTTGCAGTATGTTGGTGTTTGTCACCAGCATTGATCCCACTATTCTGTGCGCGAGAGACTGAGAGATTTCGGGCGGAAAATACCATTCCTGGAAGTGATGATATCGACAGATGGGTGCAGGAGTCGGATAATAACGAAACCCCGCACGGAAGTCCTGAAAAACGGCCAAGAGAAAGGTCTGCCAGTGGGACCCAATTGACTCCGATGTATGCATACTTAAACAAAATAGATTACATATGTAACTGTATTATTCTGAATCAATTTACCTCCCAAAACGCTTCAGATCTGAAGAGAGAAAGCGAGAGCACGAAGAATCGCGCGCAGAATAGTGCGCGAGTGGGATCAACGCTGGTGACAAACACCAACATACTGCAAAGGGTTGATTACCGATGTCGCTCGATAGATCGCCCCTTGGGAGCACCTCCAACTTGGCGCACACCTTAAACCAGCTCTTAAACCTTTATGGTGGTCTTCAAGTCGTAATGTATCAAGCCATCCACCTCCTCTGCTTTATCGCGTCGATGGGGCTTAGCCCTCCAACTAAACGCGAGATTCTGCTCGTCTGTGCCTCTTGTTCAGTGGCCTTTTCTTAATTTTTTTGCCCCGCGGGACAACCGATTTGTCACTGTCCCTGCGCCCGTACCTCCCGCTCAGCAGTATTCGGACTCTCTCGAGGTTTCTGGGAAACTATGATACTAGACTGACCTGGGACGCTACCGAGGTGCCAGAAACGAAAATCATTGCCCATGTACCGGGTCAGTACCCCATGCGCATAACCATCTTCGCAGAAACCATACCCCGCCATAAGTGCTGCTTCGATTTGAAACTCTGCTGTCGCTCAGGTTGTACCTCTACGAGCCGTGCATCGCGCTCGCGCGCAACGGGACCAAGGACTAGATCCGCCCCGTCTCGGCGCTGTCCGATGCTTCGACGTCGCTACCTCG